ACTCCTGGGCTCGAGGGACCCTCTTGCCTTGACCTCCCGAATAGCTGGGACTACAGGTGCATGCCACCATGCCCAGCATGACCATCCATTCTTTTTTAAAGAAAATTTTTGATCCACGGTTGGTTGTCTCAAAAGAGACACTAAGACAATCGTTTTAAGGAATAGTTATAAATATCACATAATATATAATGTTCACTATACTTTTAAAATGTAGTCATCTAAATGAGACCATTTTAGAATATGGTAACAATCTTTTTTTTTTTTTTTTTTTTATTTAACCCTCATTTACTTAGCACCCAACAGGTAGGTGCAAGGTACCATGAGACATCTTTTCAGTTAGTAGGAAACTCAGTGGCTGAGAATTCTAAGTCATTTTGTCACAAAAGGCTAGTCATTTAATCTTTGTGTTTCAAATTCCTATTTTATAAGAAGGAAGCCAGACTCATACTATTTCATGAGGATACAGCAAAGATTTATAATGTTTTATTAAATGCTAAGTTTCTTTTCGCACTGAGACAGAGACCCTCACCCAATGTTATCTGGCAAAAGCAGAGGTCAGTAAATTAGGCTGGCTTAACCCTTTTGTGGCCTGGATTTTTGTTTCTTGGCAAACTAAGGGGTAGATATTTTTAGGTAGAAAAGCCTTGCCTTTTAAGGTAAAAATATGAATTCCTGTAAGATATTAATCATGATCATCAAGTTTCATAGGCACGGTGGATATTCTTTTGATGGCAGCAATGACAAAGTTCCTTACGGAATGAAATCAAAGCATGTGGGATTAGATTGTAAATGAAGAATAGCATGTACTCACACGTGCGATTGTAAGATTCATGACAGGTACGGGCAATTTCAGCCCCGAGTTTAAGGTAGTGTTGAGCCAGGCTTTCGGGAGCTCCATCAGCCCCGAGCGCAAACATGCCTCCAGCAAAGCAGGTCAGGTGGCCCATCTTGTGCTCCAGGAGGCCCCCTTTCCACTCTGCGATGTAAGTGAGACCACTGCTAGACTTGCGAATCAAGTGAGTCTCGATGGCCTTAAAAAAAAAAAAAAAAAAAAGCCTTATTGTTTTAAATATTTTGTAATCTCTTCTCAAATTTATACTAAAAACACAGTCAACATTAAAAAGTAAAGAACAAAACATGACTCACAATTTGAGTTTCACGTTACAAATCTAATTCAACCTGAAATTTTATGCTATTGCTTTCTGTTTTCTTTCTCTAGTCTATGCCTTATTTGTTTGGTTAGTTAGAATTAAGGTTACTGGGTCAGCCCAGTTGGTTTTGCTTGGTTCCATGACCAAACACTTGTATTCCTCATACCCCAAAAGCTGCCCCCTTCTCAAAGACAGGCCACTGGTGCAGTGGAAATAGCTGGTTTAGAGCATTTTCATTTTCACAAATGGAGAAACAACACGAAGCCCCGACCCTAATGTGGATGAAGAACAGAACATATTTGTGTATGAGATGCAGGCTGGTGGCATTACTGTCCCTTTCATTTCCTTAGGCTCTGAGGGTGGCAAAACAGAGTGGCAAAGAGGAGCTGTTCTGGAGTCAGAGTACTTGGCTTCAAATTCCAGCTCTGACACTCTCTGTAATTTGTGGGGGTGGGTAATTTGCTTACTATATCCCTAAATCTCAGCATCCTTATCCATAAAATGGGAATGATAGTATCTCCTAAGAGTCCTCTGCAACATTTTCTTTAAACAGCAGTCAAGTACTGTAAGTGGCTGTTGACAAAGATCATTTAATCACTATCATTTATATCGCCAAGGGGTAACACTTGAATCATGTTCCTTCCTAATAATTCTATTAAAAAATAAAGTAGTGGCTCATGCCTATAATCCCAGCACTTTGGGAGGCTGAGATCAGAGGATTGCTTGAGGCTTGGAGCTCAAGACTAGTTTGGAAAATAGTGAGACCCCGTCTCTACAAAAAAAACTAAAAAAATTAGCCTGGCATGGTGGCTCATGCCTGCAGTCCCAGCTACTCGGGAGGCTGAGGTAGGAGGATCAATTGAGCCCAACAGTTTGAGGTTGCAGTGAGCTATGATTATGCCACTGCACACTAACCTGGGGAACAGAGTGAAATCCTGTCTCATTTAAAAAAAAAAAAAAAGCTCACTAGTATACAGTGAAAAAAAAAATACAGAATAAAGATCTTTACATTTGGGAGAAATAATCATGTTTACAAAAATGATTTAGAAAACATCTTTTATTTCTGTCCCAAGACTATTGGTATTACTTTAAACTAGACAGAGAAATAAAATAAGCCTTATATTTTAAAAAGCAAAAATGAAGTGTGTTTGGGATTGCTAATTTCCAATTACTCTAACAGAAAATGCTTACCTCTTCCCCCTGCCCAACTACTTCATAGTAGGAAATAGGAAGGACCGTGTCTATACCTAGACACTGCTATCAAAAAGAGGAATTTTTAGGAATAGTAGACACAGAAAAAACTTGTAATAGAGAAGAATGAATGAAAATGAATATACAAGCAGATAAAGCCTTTCCTACCTTTATTAGAAATAAGCAGATGAAACCAATACAGTATGAAATAAATGAACATACTACTGTGCTCATTAACTGTGGTTAAGCTAATTTTATTGATGGTTTAGTTATTACATTAATATCACATTCTTATTTAATGCAACTTAACATCTTAGCTATTTATACTTCTCATAACACAAATTGCAATAAAATCCTTCAAGCAGATACTTGTTAATCACCCAAGAAATTATACTTTCTACATGGCAAGAGTAATAGCTTCTGAGCATGACTTAAAGAAACAGTATTACCCTGTTATGGATCCTAAATAAAATACTGTATTATTTTTGGCATGATTCTGACCAAGCTGCTACTTCTCAATATGAACTACACAGTGAGATTCCAAGACCTTCAAAGGAATTGTTTTGTGTGGCCATGGGAAAATGTAAATAAATAAAAAGAAGGATAAATGGTATTTAGTGGCTCTCAAAAAACTGTGTTAAGGCTCAGAGAATTAAGTAGGAAAAAAGATCACTATATATTTTGTGATTTCATCCTTATACTTGAAAAAAAATTGGTTTCATGAAGCCTTTAGAATCCTAAATGTCTGATAAATTACCTGCCCAGGTATCATTCACCACTGTGGATTCTTCATGCATTTTCCAGATAGGGCCATGACAGCCAGCTGAAAACTCAAAGTGTTTTGATATTAAATCAACCAAAGAAAACATAACACTCTGGGATTAAATGCTTTCCAAAATCCACTTGAAGCCAGTGCTGAGTAACCATATCTCCAGTAACTCAGCTACCCAGAACAATAATGTAGGGCATCCAATCCTTGGTTATGATGCCTTGATTATGATGATCTTTTAAAGTGCAACTTAGCAGAAAGAAACTTTGCTATATAAGACAACACTACTTCTCAAAATTAGAAATTGTAGCTTTGCTTTCTAAGTTGAAAATATACAATGGATTGAAAATTAGTTTCTACTATTAAGAGAAACAGGAAACACTTTGACTTCATTTATTCTTAATGGATTTTCCTATCAATGATTTATCTAAACACAATACACTAAAAGTTGTGTGGGTATTGTTTGAGAAATTGTGGAAAAATATTTCAAAGAATATTTTAAAGCTGCTTTTCGTGTAACATCAAAATCTCAGAGGGCCATTTTCAGACTAGAATAATTAAAATGTCTGCTAGTATGGTAATTAGAAGATGACAGAATGGAAACCGTAATGTATGGAGAGGAGTTCCCTAGGTTAAAACCTGAAACGTCATAGGAATGAGGAAAAATAAACCAGGAAAATGCTGCGTGGATAATATCCTAGTTTGCTGTTGATGTTCATGACATGCCTTGATAAAGCTGTCCCAAATGAAGGCCCATGTTCTAACTAAGGTGCTCTGGTTTCTCTATGTGAAGTAGTCAGGACTTGTGCTTTGCTTAGTGAAGCTCACAACTGATCTTGAGAGGAAACCAAAGTAATACTCAATCCAGTTAACCACAGCAAAGCAAGCTGCATACATATTTAAATAAATAAATCAGCCTATGTCAAAATGACCCAGATCTCTTGTTAGAAAGACTAATTTTACAATGATTATATCACTGGGATTACAAATTTCCATGTTTTTCTATGAATTATTATTTTTGATTATAAAAAATTTCTAAGCAGTCAAGAAAAAGGTCAATTTTCTGAAGACTTAACTACAACTTTACAAAATTGTCTGAGAAGCCTTGATAATAATTATTAATGATATGTGGGAGTTCCAATGTAAAATACTTATCAATCACAAAGGCACCTGATTCTGCTAAAAAATTTTGTTCTTCAAAAGCTGGGTATAAGTTCAATAATATATACAATAATTTTCTTCTTCACTTATTTACTTTCTAACTTTATTTTCATTTTTGATTGAGGCTTAATTGGAGGTTTTCCTTAGTTTATTCTTATACTGGCCACCTCCTATTGACTTTGCTAAGTAGTTTCAAAGTACCACCTGTAAATAAAAATGTCAAGGTAGTATGGAATTTCTTATTCACAAACAAATCCATGGTGGTGAAGCAAAAGGGACAGGTGTTGACACAAATTTTAGTCTGGATTTTGGTTTCACAATTTCTCTGAGGTTCAGCAACCTTATCTATAAAATTGGGTGAGTGATATCTAAAGTACTGTGAGGAAAAAAAAAAAAACCAAAAAACTCCCCTAAAAACAACCTTACTACTTCATTTAAAGTATCTACCTAACACTGCTTAGCACAAAGAAGGCAATTCAACACATATTTGTTCCCTCTGATTTCTCCTCCATTATAAAGAATTGCTGACAACTATTAATGATCTTCTCTTAAATATTGGTTTGTTCAGATTTATGTATGTGGATCTTCTTAGAGTACTGTCTATCTTTGGAGACAAGTTTACTTCACATGGAGGTAGCCACTGGGAGGGACTGTCTGTAATCTTAAGCGATTTTAACTTAGTTAATATTCAGAACACAAATTCAGGAATTTTTCCTCCATGATTTTAACTGTGCTTTTAAGGAGGGAACTCATACTCATGAAAGAAGAATACTTCTTTTTTCAGATATATGATTCCTAACTGAGGTTTAAACTATATATTAATAAAAAAACATTTAACTGTCCTATTAGACACATCAAGTATGATTACTACTGTTATAATTTTATTAGCATATATTGAACTCTACCTAACTGGAAATATTTTATAACCCATTCTTGTAGTATTCCATATTTTTAATAAAGCTTGATTGATATGCAAGTTGTAAGTTAGAAGCTGAGTGACAAAGATGATTTAAATATTGGGTTACCTGAACGGCATCAAAATACATCTTCTTAGCTTCTAGATCTGTCTTGTCAGACATTAACCATGCCTTTAGCAAATATTCATAAAAGCTGTCTCCAAGTCCTCCAACTGATACATGATCTGGAAAGAGAGGGAAATGAATTTTAGAGTGATTCAGCTTTTAATTCAGATAATGCAGCAAAATCACATTAGCGACGAGGATGCAAAACCCCATGTCAACTGCATCTCAATGTTACATTTAAATTCCAACAAATCTCTTATTTTCAGAAAGATATTCTGAAATGAGCAGATGGGCTGTTAACTAATGTGATATACTCTAAATAATTACCAGAGTAGTTTTGAAAACATGAAGATAAAAGATATGTAATCACCCCTAATTCTAAAAATCAGGTTCTCTAGTAGAAAATATGAAACTAAAATGTTTCCCAGTATATATTTAAATAAATTTTTATTGGCTTTTAGTTCTGAATACTATAAAATTCTGTCAAAGTGGCCAGGTGCGGTGGCTCACGCCTGTAATCCTAGCTCTCTGGGAGGCCGAGGCGGGCGGATCGTTTGAGCTCAGGAGTTCGAAACCAGCCTGAGCAAGAGTGAGACCCCATCTCTACTAAAAATAGAAAGAAATTAATTGGACAACTAAAAATACATAGAAAAAATTAGCTGGGCATGGTGGCGCATGCCTGTAGTCCCAGCTACTCGGGAGACTGAGGCAGAAGGATTGTTTGAGCCCAGGAGTGTGAGGTCACTATAAGCTAGGATGACGCCACAGCACTCTAGCCCGGGCAACACAGTGAGACTCTGTCTCAAAAAAAAAAAATAAAATAAAAAAAAAATTCTGTCAAAGAGATTATTTAAAATTTAAGGATCCTGGCCAGGCAGTGTGGCTCACGCATGTAATCCCAGCACTTTGGGAGGCCAAGGCAGGAAGAGTGCTTGAGGCCAGGAGTTCAAGACCAGCCTATAACATAGCAAGACCCCATCTCTACAAAATGTTTTTTTTTTTTTAATTAGGGGCGCATGGTGGTACATGACTGTAGTACTAGCTACTTGGGAGGCTAAGGTGGGAGGCTCACTTGAGCCCAGGAGTTCAAGGTTACAGTGTATGGGGCCACTGCACCCCAGCCTGGGTAACTTTCTAAAAACAAAACAAAAACAAAGAAATAAAATGTAAAAATCCAACAGTAAATCTATTAACAACCATTGAATTGTATACTCGATGCACTTATGGTATATAAATTATACAATAAAGTTGTTAAAAAGAAAAACAAAAACAAAAAAAAATAAAATAAATATTAGCAAATCTTTAAAAAACATGGCTTGCAATAAATAAAATAAGAAGCTCCTCAGGTTCTTGCCATTATTATTATTATTATTGTTATGTGATTCATTTTCTAGTGTTACCAATCTGAAGGGCCAAAAATCTATGGGGTGGGAGCAGTCTGAAAGAAGATAGGCAGAGAAAGTTTTTCCTTCTAAACTCCATTCCTACCAGCAACCCACATTGCCATTTGTTATGCCAGATCCATTACAGGAATTATCAACAATCTTGCAGCGGTAGGATAGGTATCCTCATTTTAAAAGTGAGAAAAACGAGGCTTAGAAAGGCCATCTGAGATTATAGCATTGGTAAGTGCCATCTGACTCCAGAACCCACACAGGGTCTCATGTTTGGATCTGCCTGCTCTCTACCATGTAACACTAAATGTATTCCTTTGCTTACTGCCTGAATTAATACTTTTATTTTTCAAGCATGTTTGCTTACAAACACAGACACGCAATCTATTTGAAACATTTTTCCTGGAATTCAGAACATTTGAACCTTAACAAGATAGCCTTTTTAAGTTTCACACCCCAAAACTAACTTTATTTATCTATTTTTAAAAATAAAACCTTTACTTGTTTTAATTCCATACTTACAAGTATAGAATTACTTACAAAAGTAAGTCACTATTTATGCAGCTACCAAGACACTTATTCTCCTGATGCCTACCTAATAACTCTACTTGGCTGTCTACAATGAGCACCTAAAACTGAACAGGTTGAAAACAGAATTCATTATCTTTCCCCTTCAACCTTATCTTCTGCTCTGGTCTCCATCTTCCTCTCTGCACATGTTAGAAATCAGGTAGTCGTTCCTTACTTCTCTCTCTCACTCCCATATCCAATGAGTTATCAGAGTCCACTTATCTTACTTCCTGTATGTATCTCTTGAATCCACCTATGCCTCTGTGTCCTCACCAACAGGACCCTGGCTCAAGCCACCACTAGCGCCTGCCTCTGAGCCTGCAATGGCCAATTATCCAGTTCCTGCTTTCACTCTCACAGCATGTACTATTTCAATTTAAACTAATTAAAATTAAATTAAAAAATTCCGTTCCTTGGTTATACCATTGCTCAGTGGCTAGATGTGGCCCTTGCCTACTGTACTGGACAGGGAACATACAGAACATTTTCATCATTGCGGAGAGTTCTAATGGTAGTGCCGCTCCAACATTTTCCCACATTAATGTAAGAGTAACTCTCTTAACGTGAATTTGATCACTCCTTCCTTGAAACCCTTCAACGCTGGGTCTTTGGAGACCTGGGATGTCCTGCAAGACATTTCGGTCTTCTCTGCAGCATCAGTCTTGCTCCACGTGCTCTGTGCTTGTTTGCTACACAACCTTTCTTTTGGTTTCTCAAAAACATCAGGCTCCATCCCACCTCAGGGCTTCTGTAGGCCTTGTTCTGTCTGCCTGCAGTGTATTCCAGGACCTCTTCCTCTCCTTTAGTAATTCTTACTCATGCTGCACACCTGGGATCAAATGGCACTTCCTCAAAGAAACCTTCCCTCACACTGCCACTAGGTTCCCTTGTCACATACTTTCTGAGATCACATATTTACCACACTTGCAATTTCATAATGTGGTGGAATTTTCTTCTGTCTCTTTCACAAGATCATGATCTGAGAGGGCAGAGACCAGACCTATTATGTTTCCCAGTCCACACCAGCCCCTAGAAAGTGTCTTGTGCATTGTAGGTACCCTGTAAACAACTGATGAACATAGAGAAATTCTCCTAAGTCAACAGTAATAAGGACTAGAGAAGGGACATATTTTTAAGTAGTTAAATATTCCATTTTCTTATTGCAGAAAGTTGAGCATTATAGTTTTGATTTTAACATTCATATGTATTTTTAAAATTATAAGTCTGATTCTTAAAACAGTAGTATTTGAAATGACCTTTACAATTTCCTAAATAAATCACCACAGAAACCTCTGACATTTACAAACTACATAGATTAAGTACTATCTCATCAATAATAAGCCCTGTTGGTATAAACATGATTGCAGGAGACAAACGCAAGTGATGCATGGTAGAGCAGATCACAGTTCAGTGCTGTCAGAATAACAAAGCCTAAATGGAGTAATAGAAAACGATGGCCACGATCCAGACGTGTCCCTCAGAGTTAAAGCAATGAGAGTTGAAAACTAACAGCCAGAAGCAGCTTGGTATTTTCCTCCCCTTGGGTTATGATTCTGTAATGGATGGAAGAAGCAAGTTTGAGCATTTGGAGATTTTTGTAAAAAAGGAAAAAGGGCTATATAACAATATATTTGTTTTAATTAAGTTTTGTAAGTACTATTCAGTTTTTGAGTTTTCTATTTCTTGCCTATAAAAATTTCACATTTAGGGAAAAAAAATCAAAATGAAGGAAGATAGACGAGAACCATCTTTTTGATAATTTACCATATCACTCACTAGGCTTTTCCCAGGTCTGGATGACTGTGTGAACTGGCAACAGAGTCCTGTATAAACATCTTAGTGGATGTGGGAAAGAACATGCCTGATTTTATCAGCAGGAAAGGACTGCCTATTTTTAGAAAAAACACATATAGTATTTTCCTGACCAACTGCTCTAAAGGTAAGGTATACAATATCACTCAAATATTATGCTCTTCTCTGAAGGGATAATTTGTTCTTTTTTTCAGGATAGGAATAGGTCCTGTAAAAGGATTCCTAATATCTAAAAAAAAATAGAAAAAAAACAAATAGCTAAAGAATCAAGACAAAGAAGGATTAAAATACTCAACATCTGTTTTTAAATTTTTTGTAGACTTTATCTGAATCTGAATTTCTCTCCTCAAAGCAATCCCCCAATGGTGCTAGTGATGACACTACACAAATATATATATAATAGATAGATGGATAGCTGTTATATAAATCAAAGGGTGATAAATGTTCTGTGTATTGACATGAAACCTCACAACTGGCCTCAGTGGTCACAAGATCTGCTTAAACACCAGTGACCAGGTCCAGATGCCACCTCTCAGCCACAACTGAGGAGCAGGAGCAACTGTTAAACAAGAACACACAGAATCACTATTAAAAGCAGAGGCAGAAAGATAGATCATATACAGAACTCATGAATATTCACAAAATCAAAGTAAGTAAAACACCTACTAGGTGCAAGATACTATGTGCTGGGTTAACAAATATGATAAAGACATGGTCAAAAGCTTTGGACCCTTAGGAAGGTGAGCATGCATGTGGGTCCACTGGGAAAAGGATTGTGATAGGAAACGACCCAAAGTGCGGGGCCAGGGGAGGAAGAAACAGAGGAGGAGTGGATGCTGATAAATTCCAATCAGGGTCTTGAAGAAGAAGACCTCCTGGAAGAAAGGGCAATTAAGCTGGGCTGGGCCTTGGTAGAGGAAGAAGAGAAGTAGAAGGGCTAAAGAAACAGCATGAGCAAAGACCTGGACATGGCCAAGCAGGCCTTGATTAAAAAATAAAAACAAAATGTGTCTTCCTTGCGGCTGGAACACAGGATGGGGGACGGAGGAGGAGAGACATGGGGCTCATCGATCGTGTCTGCTTTTCCATCAGGAAATTGGCCCATGAGCCATCCAAATATAAAGGACTCTTTGTACCAGGAAACATGGCCAAATACATTGTATATGGGTGACCCAGAAGGTGAAGCTGAGATGTTCCAATAAAACTGGCTACTTTTGTCCTACTTCATACTGACATCTAAATTATAAATTATAAAAAGAAAGCAGTAAATCAAAGAGACTTTTCAACTTTTGAAATGTGTGGTGAGAAGAACTCCAAAAATGCTTATTTTTTTAGAAAATTGTATCTAGTCATCTTGTACTTAGAAAGATATACAAGTTCTGTTTTATCCCCAGTACTCTAGTGGCCCTCAAACATTTTAGTCTCAGCACCCCTTTATACTGTTAAAAAGAAACAAGCACCCCAAACAATTTAAGTGAGTAGTATCTATCAATATTTACCATATTGGAAAATTGAAACAGAATTTAAAAATATTTTTGTTATTTTATTTAAAATTGTATATCCTTTATGTTAACACATAGTTCTTTTTCATAGAAACATATTTTACAGAACAAAAAAAATTGGTGAGAAGACTGACACAGCTTTACACTTTTGCAAATCTCTTTAATGTTTGCCTTACTATTAATAGAAGACAGCCAGATTCTCATATGTGCTCTACTTTCAATCCATTGCTATATGCTGTTTTGGCTGAAATATATGAGGAAATATCAGCCTCACAGTTATACAGTTGGAAAACAGAAGAGTATTTTAATAGTCTTTTCAGATAATTGCAGATATTTTTCTTTGATACTACAACAAAACTGGGCAAGCAGTTTCTTAAAGGTTAAAGTTTCTTAAAGGTTAGCTGCAATGTGAAAATTAGAAATTACATTAATGAATTTTTTTACTCTGTTACACTAAAATCCATTGGTCTATTTTGTACTTTGAATAGAACTTTTCCATGCATAATTTTGTAATGTCATGCATTGGTCATTTGGGAAAGATTGGTTCACTGAATTATGCGGATCCTCCAAATAGTGACACATTTCATTATACAAAATCAGAAAACCACATTTGTTAACATTGCCACCAATCTCATCACAAAAGTATTTGTGTCAAGCTCATGGTGGCATGCACGTGGTTTCCAAAATTCTAATTTTTATTTAGAAACTCAGATTTTCTCATAATTCGCACAAATACTGTCACTTTTCCTTGAAGTGACAGGCTCATTTTCAAGAACAGGTCTACCAATTACCCAAGTCTAAATAACCAGTTTGTTTTTAGTTGTTCTTTCAAGTAAAAATGGTGATCCATGAAACAAAAAGCAGCTAGTTCAGCTCACAACACAATCACGCAAGAGCTTTTCCTCGAGGCATCTACTATTTTTCATAATGCAGCAGCAGCGATTCCTGCGTACTTTCCATTTCCTCACTCAGAACACTACAAAGGTGTGTACTCAAAGCTTGATATTTACTAGAATCAATACTTTAACTGTTTCATTCAGCACATTCATAAGTGAAATTGGCATCTTTTAAAAAATTTTTAACTGTGGTTAAGAATACAATGAGTATTATTAGTACGATTTGGATTTGGTGTTTGCCTTGGTTCTCATGGAAGCTTCAGCAGTTTTACTCACCATTGCTTTTGCAATGTAAGTTCAATGTCAACACAGTGGAAAAGGCAGAAAGTCTTAGTATTATCATAAAAATAGTTTTGAACTTGTGGACCCCCCGAAAGGCCTCAAGCACTTACAATGATCTGTAGAACACACTTAGGTAAGTGGCAACCTTGATTCTAGTCCTAAGGTTTCAATGGCTAGGCCTTCCATAGCTATTACCAACACACGTATGGATTTTACCACATTCTTTTCTACTAAATTATTCTTTAAGAAAAGCACTCCTAAAGTAACAACAAGGCATCTGAGAACATGACATTTAAATATAAATAAAAAACCCAAATTAGAGTAAAATTTTAAGGCAGTGCACACTCTCACCACAGCTAGGCATCTCACTTAATATTCTTCACTTGTTTTCAGTTGCTACTTAATCTACCACTGTTTTTCCAAATCAGCTTGAGACATTTCTTTCAACTACTCTGAATCTTTATACCTCTGGTCAAAATTGTCTTAAGAGTCTTACGTGAGGGCTTCTGGCATCAAAAGTACTTATACGATACTTTCTCCTACCCTAAAGGTAACTCTACTGGCAAGAAACCTTTATCTGGTGGCTTACAATTAAGTAGGGAAAACATTCTGTTTGTTCTTTCAATTTCCCAGCTCTTACAGTTTCAGGCTCCTCTCTCATTGTATCGCCATGCAGAAATACAGAATGTTAGGAAGCAGAATGACCTAGCTACTCTGTGCAAGACCCATATAGTCATTAGCACAAAGGAATAAAGTTACTTTCTATCCATATGACCAACTTGTTACAGGCTAACATCCCCATTCCTCCCTGACCAGATCTTCCCCTTCTGATTAATAGCTTTAAATGTGCTTATATGTCATCCTACTTACTGTTATACATAAAAAATAAACAATCCAGTTTCCTGGTAACACAATCTGCCTTATGACAGAAGCCTGTTTATTAAGGGACTATACCCCTTTTCTTCTTTTCTAAACATTTCTCAACAAAATTTGTGCTACTTTTGCACGCCCTCTTTCTGCTACTAGCACAGTACCTTAAAGAGCTATAAGAATGTAAAGCTTCTGACTTACGTTGACCCCACTGTCCACTACTGGGATTCAGATAGTTAGGATAAAGTCCTTCTGGTTTTTCCAGTTTGTTCAGCACTTTGCGAATATTCATCACCTACAATCAAAAATGAAGTGTTACTATGAAAATCTAAAAAACAATTTTTGTGCCATTCTTCTCCCTTTCTTTTTTTTTTCCATTTTAGAAAAAAATAAGTTAATTTAAATGATGTAGAATTAGAACATAGATAGTTGCTGTCAGCTTGTTATTACTAAAATAATAGCAGTAAGTAAATATAGTTACACTGATTATCTACTATATGCCAGATGCCATCCTAGGAACTAGGGACTTTTTGCATTATAGTGGGATGAGACAGACAATAAATAAGTAAGTACAGTCATGCGTTGCTTGATGACAGGGATACATTCTGAGAAATGTGTTGCCAGGTGATTTGACCACTGTGCAAACTTCGCAGAGTGTACTTATGCAAACCTAGATGGCATAGCCTACTACACACACAGGCTACATGGCACAGCCTACTGCTCCTGGGCTACAAACTGTACAGCATGTCATTGTACTGAAGTATTTGTGTATCGAAACATGTCTAAACATAGGAAAGGTACAGTAAAAATATGGTATAAAGGATAAAATATGGTACACCTGTACAGGGCACTTATGAATGGAATCTGTGTGACTGGAGGTTGCTCTGGGCGAGTCAGTGAGTGGTGAGTGAATGTGGAGGCCTAGGACATCACTGCACACTACTGCAGACTTCATAAACACTGTGCACTCAGGCGACACTAAATTTATAAAAATTTTTTCTTTCAATAATAAATTAACCTTAGTTTACTGTAATGATTTTTACTTTATAAACTTTTTTTAAAGCTTTTTGACTCTTTTATAATAACACTTAGCTTAAAACACAAATACATTGTACAGCTGCACAAAAATAACTTCTTTCTTTACCTCCTTATTCTATATGCTTTTTTCTATTTAATTTCTTAAAACTTTTTTGTTAAAAACTTAGACACGAACACACACATTAGCCAAGGCCTACAAAGTATCAAGATCATCAATATCACTCTTTCATCTCCACATCTTGTCTCACTGGAAGGTCGTCAGGGCTAATAACATGCATGGAGCTGTCATCTCTTGTGATAACAAGGCCTTTTTTTTGAAATACCTGCTGAAGGACCTGCCTGAGGCTGTTTTACAGTTAACTTTTTAAAAAAATAAGTAGGAGTAGAGTATACTCTAAAATAACTATAAAAAGTATAGCATAAAAAATATGTAAACCAGTAACATGCTTGTTTATTATCATTGTAAAATATTATGTAGTGTACACAACTGTATGAGCTATATTTTTATACAACTGGCAGTGCAGGTTTGTTTATACCGGCATCACCACGAACACATGAGTAATGCATTGTACTACTACATTACGATAGCTATGATGTCACTAGGTGAGAGAAATTGTCCAGCTCCATTATTATCTTATGGGACCACTGCTGTATATGCAGTCCATCTTTGACAAAAATGTTATTAAGTCATGCATGACTGCATAGTATGTCAGGAGATGATAAATGTGAAAAAAATAAAAGAGGGTGTTACGGATTGAATTGTATCCCCCCCCCAATTCCTATATTGGGGCCCTAAGCCCCAATATGATGGTATTTGGAGGTAAGGCCTTGAGGTGATTAGGGCATGAAAGTAGAGCCTTCATGATGGGATTAGTGCCCTTGTAAGAAGACACACAAAAGAGAGCACGCACTCTTGCCTTGTGCGCTTTCTTTCTCTCCCCCTCTGGGCACAAAGAAGAGATTGGGTTTGGAAAGGCCACTGGGGCCAGAGGTGAGGAAGCAAAGGGGAGAACGTCAGTGAGCCAAGGAGCGGGAGAGCTAGGGCCCAGGTGATACAGGCCACCTGTTTTACTCTGAGTGTCTTGGGAAGATGGAGGGGCAAGAGAGGAAGTGGCAGTCAGGAGCTACTGCAGAGTCCAGGTGAGAGGTTATGGCCCTGGGCTGAGGGGCTGCAGAGGGTGCAAGGTAGAGCCAAAGGACCCGGGTTTTACCAAAAAGAAGAACCAGGATGACCTCAAGATCTTTGGCCAGAGCCACTGGGTCCACTGAGGAGCCATTTACCAAGACAGCAAAGCCTGCAGTATAAGCAGGCCTGGGGTGGAGTCCGAGGCATTTTAAGTGGGACTTGTCTATTAGACCTCTTAGTGGAGATGTGAATAAACAGCTGGATGTAGAGTCTGGAGTTTAGGACACAGGTTGAGTCTGAAATTATCAGTTTGGAGTCAACAGCATAGCCATGGTACACAATGCCAAGGGACTGGATGAGACAATGTAGGGCATGAATATAGAAAGAAGAGGCACAGGTTTGAGTGCTGGGGCTTTCTGACATTTAGAGGTTGGGGTGCTGAGAAGGCACACCCAGCAAAAAGGGAGGCAAACTGGGGGAGTATTCTATGCCTGCAGCCAACTGCAAAGAGTGTCTCATGAAGAAGGAACTGACTGACAGTGTCCAATGCGAGGAAGGCGTGGGGGCAGAATGGATAAGTGGCTTTGGCAACGTGGTGCCCACCTGCCACTGTGACTGGTGTGGCTGGGAGAAAAGCCCTCTGGGAGAGGGTTCAAGAGACTAGAAGAGAAGACAGCAAACAGAGACAACGCTTTCAAGGAATTCTGCTATAAAAAGGAGCCAAAAAGTAGGTTGAACCCTAAGATAGAGTGGTGGGGGGAATATGAATTTATTCAAATATCTTTGCTTCCTGAAAATTAGCAATCGATTCAATGCTGACATCATATTTGTATAAGTCTTTAAGTCTTTCACATACTTGACTCATAAAGGCCATACAATTCTAAATATTTTTAGATTAGGAAACAAAACTCAGACAGGTAAAGTAACTCACTTAAGGTACAGAGAACAAATGAGAAGCCAGGCCCTCTCGCTGTGAGTTAGAATGGGGCCACGGAAAGACTAGGTTTACGGTTTCGTTAAATGGAACGCTGCGTGTTACAAAACTTCAGAAAGAGCTATTTAACTTTGGTTGTTATTTTCAAAATCTAAAATTACTAAATCTCCGAGGATAGGATATTGTTTCTCACAAGTGCTTCTTTGTAAGGTAAGGAATATTGGAGAATCTTACCTTTTCAGCAAAGATGGGGTCTCCTGATAAGTGGCTCAAGTGCATAAACTCCAAATGCAGGGTTCCAAATTCTGCCAGAATGCTGCTGCCTCCAGAGGCCCAGGGCCAGTTCCTTCCAATGCCACTAAAGAAAAGAAGAGTTATGGGTCAGACTAATTCCATTTTTTATAATTCTGAAGAGTTGAGATGAAAGAGATAGCTTTTTAATAATAGCATCTCAGCTAATAGTCTATTCTGGATATTGTAAAACCAAGCATTGTTGTCTTTGGCTACTGGTTTTAGGTTTTGAATCCTATCTCCAAATTAAAAATTAGTGTTGACTTATAAGTTAGAAAGAAGTTGCTGTGTGCTCGTGCTGATGAACAGATAGACAAACATTTTGGAAGGTACAGGTGCTATACATAGAGATATACAACAATTCCAAGTAGAATAGAAAACAAAATCAGACTAAAACACTCCTACCATGCCCCAATCCCACAGAAAGCCCTTCAATATTTTAATTAATTTCAGCCTGAGCTTCCATGGAATTTTAGACATTATATGCAAAATTTTATTTTGATAGAAGATAAATTTTATAGATTCATTAGTTATATACCCACCCCCATCCCTCTCCAAATCCTCCCTCCATTTACTAGACTCCCTTTCCTATGTTTATCTTCACAATATTCTATTTTCTAAGGCACTAACTCATTCCCTGTCTTATTCAATCTATGCTCAAGAATCTCAACAAAATTATGTTACACAAATCTGAAAGCATCAAAGACATGAGCTTCAAAACTTACTGTCTCATGGCTCATCTTGGAAAATTGCTTTTTAAAAAGAGTTAGTATTTTAAAAAGAGTTATAAGCATATATACATACAAATACACAAAAGTAACTCCTGAGACATGGTCATATTCATCAGCATAGTTTATTTCTGGAGAGTCACTTAAAACTTCAAGACATATGTGGTAATTCAAATAAAGAATAAAGTCAATTATTCTCCTGACCAATATATTCCCTTTCAGATACCTCAAAACCCACAATTGGGTTTTAGTTTAGATGCACATTTATTGCATGCCTACTATTTGCCAAGTCTATACATGGCATTGGATTATAAGCATGGGTTATGATCATAAATCACTCTTTTCTCAAAGACCTTATAGTGTAATGGGAGAGAAAGATCTAAGCATCAATAATTTCAACTGAATATGGTAAAAGCCAAGACAAGCCTGTGCAGAGTTCTCTGAGCACCTAAAACTAGGACACGTGATCCAACATGATAGGGATCACAGGCTTCTTTCTTCAAGGAGGAGACTCCTGAGTTGAGTCTTTTTTTTAAAACTGTTTTTTAAAAAATTTCAGTAGATTGAGAGGGTACAAGTATTTTTTTGTTACATGGGTGAACTGTATAATGCTCAAGTCAGGGCTCTTAGTGTACCCATAGCCAAAATAGTGTACGTTGTACCTGATAGGTAGATTGTTATCCTAATTTACTCTTCTCCCCCCTGCTTAGTTTTTAATGTCATTATACCACTTTATGACCATACGTATCCCTCGTTTAGCTCCCAATTATAAATGAGAACATGTGGCATTTGTTTTTCCATTTCTGAGATACTTCACTTGGAATAATAGTCTCCAGCTCCACTCAAGTTGCTGCAAAGGACATCATTTCATTCCTTTTTAAGGCTGAGTAGTTCTCCGTGGTACATATGTACCACATTTTCTTTATCCACTCCTCAGCTGATGGGCATTTAGGTTGAGTCCCTATCTTTGCAATTGTAAATTATGCTATGATAAACACTCGGGTGCAGGTGTCTTTTTTGTAAAATGAATTCTTTTCCTTTGGGTAAATACCCAGAAGTGGGATTGCTGGATTGTATGGTAGGTCTACTTTTAGTTCTTTGAGGAATCTCCATACTGTTTTCCAAAGAGGTTGTACTACTTTGTATTCCCACAGTGTGTATAACGTTCCCTTTTCACTGCATCCAAGGCAAAATATATTGTTTTTTGACTTTTTAATCATGGCCATTCTGATAGGGGTAAGGTGGCATCTCCTTGTGGTTTTAAATTGCTTTTCCCTGATGATTAGTGATGTTGAGCATATTTTCATATCTGAATCATAGTTGATTCTTGAAGGATAAGTAAGAGCGAATGAGGAGAGAATGAAGAGAGGAGACCCTGGGCATAGAGAGAACACACAAGCAGAGGCACACCAGCAACCAGAGGTACCTTCTGACACAGGCGAGTGTCAGGAAGGGAAGGTGGTGGGGGGAAGGCTGCAAGGATAAACTGAGCCCAGGCAGTGAAGGCTTGTGGAATGCTCACATTCCTCCTTGTTTTCGAAGGCAGACCCCATTTAAATGCTGCTCTGGGTGTCCCCTAGATTTCCTAACCACCACCTTTGTTTTTGCAGCACATCAGTCACAACCCTGGTTAAACCCTTTCAGTTTTGTGATTGCTGCTGCCACCAGGCTGCTGAGGAATGCCGGAAGAAAGAAAAACAATGAAGACAACTGGTGCCTGGAATCCTGGGCTAGCTTCATTCTTATTCCCTGTTCCTTTCTACAGCAAAATCTAGATTTTGTTCCAAAAATACCTATGTACAGTACATCTAATCAAAAGTGTACGAAAAGAAAAAACACAGATCTGAAAAGCATATATTCATTTATTTTAGAAAATGCCGGAAATTTGTTAGGTTCTGGGAATGTGAATCAGTTTCGATTTTCATAGTTGGCTTAGATAAAAGGAATAACCAATCATCCAAGTAGGATGAACAGCTCCTTTCAAATTTTATTAACATATGGCAAATGCACATAGTAACTGGCCATTAATTTGTTGTCACGCCATATCAATTTTTTATTCGAATCATTCCACCAATGACCAATGTAAATAAGCCTATTAAGCAGAACCACAAATTTCTAAGGTCTAGAGAAATATTAAAAACAAAGCCATAACATAGGCAGTACAGGGGTAAGAGGAGATGGCTTCATCCTGAAAGAGAACAGGGTGCCAAGGAAGCCAGCCCACCTTCCAGATCTTCAGGGCCTGGCTCTTGTCAGTTCAGGCGATTAGAGTGTGGGATGAGAAAGGTAAGCAGAATTTATGCACTAAGCTAGAACTCAACTACTTTGTATCCATGCATTTGTTGCCTGCCGTTAATGAGGTGAATCAAGAGAAAACCAGAGATATACTGAACATTTTCCGATATGCTGAAAAACTAAGATTTCAAAGGGTTATATATTCTCCCTTCCTCCTTTGCACATGTTCATATCAGAAGGAAAACGGCACTCTTTTCTATCACTGTTTAATCATATAGGGAGCAAGAACATCAAAAGCACCGGCTGAGAGAACATTACGCTAACAGAAAGAAAACTGGGATTAGAATATAAGGTATGCTTCTATGAAAGGATGGCTTTGGGTTACCTTTCATTCGCCTACAGAATTAACGTATTTCGGTAAAATTACTTAGAAGATCAATAGTTGTACTGACTCTTAAATATAAGTTAGGGAAGGGGTTAAAGAAATCAGAGAGGAACAACTGCATTTAGATATCATATAAGGTCACTCGCCTGTTCTTAGGCAAAGCTTCAAGGACTTGCTGATTGACCTAGGGGAGGCCATGGGACACACCCCCACACCACGGCCACCACAACTGACATGTGCACGTCTCGGGGAGACGGCAGCCTCCTGTCCTGCACGGAAAGCCTGCACTGAGTCAAAACCAAGATCTGGTCGCTCACAGAATGGAGGGCATGAACAGAATGATTGTGAAGGTCATTTCTGTCTCCAGATTCTGAGCCTACTGAGGAATCTATATATTTGTAAGGCTCTAATCTCTCAAATGATATGTGGACAGTGGGCGTTTGATACTGAAATAGGTTTGTGACAAAGGGAAATGAGTCCAGAGAGAGTTCTGCTCCCCTGGTCTGGGGTCAGGGTGCCCTGGCATCCCATTACCGAAGGCCAGGCATTCTTGACCTCTGCGCCAAAACAAAGCTCATTTATGGGAGTGAAGGATTAAAATGTCTTAAACTTCCGTTCTATTATCAAAGTATTTTAAAGGCAGTTGCGGTGGTCTTTATTTGGCCCATTTTACAAACAGTAATAATACTTAGAAAAATATTTTAATGATAAAATAATAGTTTGTGTTCAGAAACTCTTAGTTCCATAAGACAGGCAGGACAGGGAGGAATATGTAAATATTCTCTATCTTGTTATAATGACTACACTCTAAAGCCAAAATGATGAGTCAGCATATGGAAATGTATACACAAAAAGGCAATTAACAGGCTCTGGGGAGCTGCCAAGTATTTGGTTCAAAGGATCCTAGAACAAAAATTTAAACTTTAGTATCACTCTAATTTCATTTATTTTTGTTTCCTCCAATTCCTAGTTCTGAAGAGGAGTATTATTAATATATGTTTCAAGTTTTAATTTCATTCGAATTTTCAGTATTCTACAAAAGTAATAATTATTTGAAAATAAAACATATCACAACAAAAATAATCAATTTGGCAATTGCAGTTAGCAATGAGTCTTTAAAAACACTGAGTCACTGTGATTCTTTTGAAAATTTGGAACACCGTTTTTTTTTTTTTTGACATTGTCTCACTCTGCGGCCCCAGGTAGAGTGCAGTGGTGTCATCATAGCTCACTGTAACCTCAAACTCCTGGGCTCAAGTGATCCTCTTGCCTCAGCCTCCTGAGTAGCTGGGACTACAGGTGCATGCCATGATGCCTGGTTAATTTTTCTATTATCTGTAGAGATGGGGTCTCACTCTTGCTCAGGCTGGTCTTGAACTCCTGGGCTCAAGCAATCCTCCCGCCTTGACATCCCAGAGTGCTAGGATTACAGGCTGGCCATGGAATACAATTTTGTAGCTTTAGAGACTATAATTTGAATGTATTTTTTTAGCAGTAGTAATATACTTCCTCATCCTACTTTACTAAAATCAAGAAGGTATAATTATTTATAGAACTCATAGCTTTAATAAGCAATGGGCTTTATGTGCTTTTCCTTCTGTCTCCTGGGAATAGTTAATGGGCTGGCGGAAGAAACTATAGTACTAATGGTGCTATCCTACTCATGTTTGAATCCCATGAGACAGTTGCTCTTTTCCTAGATCCTGTAATGATTCAAGC